AAATGTAGGCATTTACCCGACTTGGAAGCAAATATTTCCTCCAGCCGATCGAGTCACTTGTTATACAGGAGAATGTCTGCGTTTTTTTGTTTTTATGAAAGTTTAATCAAAGAAAGCTTCAGCGAAAATAGGGAGATCGCGATTGTTATACAAACTATAAATTAGAGCTGACCTGAAAGACACATTGAATTGTGCCGCCATGCTGGAGAATGTAATGTAGCCGCATTTAGGGAGACAATTTCATCTTCCATCCAAATTTACTTGTTTGCTTGCTAGAATCCTCAAACAAATAATAGGGTGGAGAAATCGAATGGCTTGAAAAACTAAGTCCTTGAGTCTACTTACCGATCACAACATGTTTTGGAGGAACTGAGAAGCGCGCCAAACGAGGTTGTCGCAGCCTTCTGGAGCGAAGAGAGTCGCAACCTGGATTGATACAATTACCATTGAAGGCGCTCTCATACCAGTGATTTCACCTTTCGTTGCATAGATATAGTGAATTGTTTGTAAGCACATCCTCGACTCTCGAAACATTCGTCTTGCGCCGCTATAGAGTTCCGTTTTCCGCGAACCGTAGGTAGATTTCCCGCTTGACAAAATTTTTGGTAATTTATGCAAAATTGAACCTCGTGAATGTCAGAAGTGCATTTATCGACGCAAAAATAAACATACTTCCTCCACAGGGGTTTGAACACGATTTCAATTAAAGTACTTTACGAGCGCTGCGGTAGTTGACCGCAAAAGTGTCACATCTGAGTCTGTTATTACACTGGTTAACAGTTCGACATTACACGTTCTGCTCTTCGATCTAGCTATAACTGAAAGTTACTAAAACGCTGTGTATATTAGCTAAGGATCAGTCCACACCACACATGCGTCACAATAGTTAAATACGGTTTCAGTTCATTTCTAAGAAGTTTTCTTGTGAACACCTATTTCAGCTATTTCCTATTTAAGGCGTGGGTTGATTTGACAGTCACTTAATGTTTATTTGACAGATACTGATTGTAACTGTGACAAAGCCAAACACTTTAATGTCCGGAGTGTCAATATTGCTTATAACCACTTTTCGTGTCTTGTCTGGTTGTTGATGAATCATATTTCTGCCTTATTTCCATCCCTGAAAGGTCCTTAAATTCACAACATTTCATTTTTTACGTATCTGTATCAATCAGTATCTTTGCCCTGTTTTGAGAACATGAAATAGGTTTTTAACAAGTTTTGAATCAGTACATGTTCTTATGTACTGATGTATCAAGAGTGTAGTTTCTTGTTTCCAGTTCTTACTTTCAATCTGATCAAAAGTAATCTTACTCTTAGCGGTCTGATTGTTTCCAGTTTAAGTTAATATCAACCATATCTAAACAAGGCAGAAGATAGTAGGAAATTAAACGAGAGCCAGGAACAGGCTAGCATAAGGCTCCCGTGTACCTGTAGCTTGTTTGAGACTGAAATTCTTACATCGACTTGATCGTATATCACTACGATCGTATACAGTATGTTGCCCAGTATCCGGACACTTCAGTTTAAGATTGCAATAACGTTCCTTTGTTAATCGCAAGAGCTCTGAAATTCGGCCCAGAGAAAATCTATCTAGTCCTTAATATGACGAAAGACAGTTTAACTTTTTTGCCTTTGTTTCCATCGCGAAATTGATATTTTTGCAGAGCTCCTATGTTGCCCAGTATCCGGACAGCTGGCCCAGTATCCGGACACAACAATAACAACGCAATTGTACATAAATTTCGACAGGCAAGCGACTTATAAGCTTCTCTTGCACTTGCAAAGTAGTCTGGCAATCGATTCCAAAAATATAACCCAGCATCGTGAAATAAAAC